AAGTGTCTCCTATTACTGATAGACAGTGCAAGTGTCGCGGGCCAGTTCAGAGACCATTATTCAAGATTGCAGACAACAGTGTTAGTGCGTGCATGGAACAGTGTGTGGTGATTAAGTTTCTTATGAATGAAGACTTCAAGCAGAGTATGGGGATGTGGCACTCAGCAACAGTAGGACATTTGAATGGTATGGTGTAAATGTTTCAAAGAGGGATGTACCTCCATCAATGATGATCCCAGCCGTGGTGGTTCCCAGTCCACAGCAGTCATTCCTGTAAACATTCATCATGTGAAATGCCTGATCCTGGATAATTGATGCATAACCTGTTGTGAAATTGCACAAGAGACAAATCTTTCTGAGGGAACGGTGAACATGATCATTCACGAATGTTCTAGGATGGTTCAGGCATACTGACAAATCTTTCTATGCCAAAGCTTCCCAGGCATTGGTTAAATGCTGAGATAAGTGTAATAAATGTAGCAGGGGAGTATGTAGAAAAATAAATGAATAAATGCAGTTTGCATTCCTTAAAATTTGTTCTTTTATTATATAAACTCAAAGTCCCGGTTTGCCTTGAAAGGATGCATAACCCCCTGCTTTCCTGCATGCTCAGATAAGGCCCTGGTGTGGATATTTGTGGGGAGATGTCATGATTTTTTTGTATTTTTTGTGGGGTTCCCCTTTAAAATCCATAATAGATTTGAAGATCTAGGATACAATTTGGGAGGGACATCAAAAGGGTTTTGTCTTTCTATTTTTTTTTCCTTTTTTTTTTGCATGAGGTTCCCTTAAAATTCATTTGAGACCTGAAGGGCCTGGTATAAATTAGAAGGAGAACCCTATTATTTTTTTTTTTTGGGGGGGCCTACCATTAACATCTATATGAGACCCTCACCTAAGATAAGTGCCTGGTATAGATGAAGGGTATCTCTGACTGCTTTGTTTGCAAATAGAGCAAAGCTGTTACTTTACCTGCCCGCAATCTAACACCTTCCCCGCCCAGCCTATAGTAGATTGACAGCCAGGCGGGACACTCGCCTTTGTGACGTCATATGACGTCCTGTCAAAATGAGCCATGCAGTGGCACAATCTGTCACCGGCTGTGTCCACGCGACACAGTCGATGACATATCACTACACTGGCCCCTTGCCAGTGTCATGTGACCACTGTGACCAATCACAGTAGATCAAGTTGATAGTATACCTGTCATGCCATCCATTGTATACAATTATGTTGTTAGCTGTGACTGGTCAAGGCAGTCACATGATACAGAAAGGGCCAATCATAGCCCATCTGTATCATTTGATCAGCTTTGCCCAATCACAGCTAATCACAACAAAAGACTGAATTAATCAGTTTCATTCAGTAACAATGATTACAAATATCAATGAAATTCATTGGTATTAGCAATCATAATGTGTTAAAAAAAAAAATCCTGATCACTTGCCCAGAGTAGTTCAATGTTACTATGGTAAAATTGTATTGCTTTGTTAAAGTGTGCTGAAAAATAAAATAGTAAAAAAATTAAAAAAGTTAATAAAAATAAAAAAAAATAATAAACATTTGAAAAAAAAATACAAATTCAATTATTATTTTCACCAAAGAAATGTAGTAGAATACATTTTGACCTAAATTTATGAAAAAATTTTATTTATTTGCAAACGAAGAAAAGGTTTTTTTTTTCAAAAGTTTCAGGTGTTTTTTGTTTTATTTAGCAAAAAACTCAGTGGTGATTAAATACCACCAAAAGAAAGCTCTATTTGTGTGAAATCAATTATAAAAATGTCATATGGGTACAGTGTTGCATGACTGCACAATTGTCATTCAAAGTGTGACAGCACTGAAAGCTGAAAAATTGGCCTGGGCGGGAAGGGGGTTAAAGTGCCCGGTACTGAAGTGGTTAAACACACATTTTTCTTTGTAAATGTCAGTGTTGCTGTAGTAGGATGTATAAATCACACAGATGCACCACTTCACAGGTAGGGTTAGGATATTCCCAGGCATGTTACTTAACCACTTACCTCTGGAGGTACACATATATGCGGCCTCTAGGAGGGTGGGCTTTTAATGCTGAGCAACCACATATATATGCATCCCTATGTAAACACATTTCTGTGTTGAGAATGCGTTCCCTGTGCACCTGCAGACATCAGAAAGCTCCTAATGTATACTTGTGAGCGCTGTGACTGTCAATCACAGTGGTCACATGATCGGAATGCCCGTCTCTGTTTCAAATTATGTGCAGAAACAATTGTGAAAGGGACTCTGAGGGTATTTACCTCATCAATCTACAAATGAATAATTGAAAAAAAAAAAGAAACTGGGTGGTTTAGGATGACTCATTCGTAATGAAAACAACAAAAATTATTTAAATGTAATTTATTCAAAATAAGATAAAAAAACTACCAAAGAGTAAAAATACAAAATTCATTGTACATTATACAGCAGGGAAACATTATTTTCACATATTTGTGTCCACTTGTCACATATTACATGGGCAACGTGTTTCACGGTCACAAGCTGCTTCTTCAGGACTCTGTATTAGTATATGACATATTTCTTGTAAAGCCTTATTGTAACTCTAAAATTCTGAAAAAAAGAAAAGCAATATAATAAACATATAGGCAAGTATATATAGCATATATCATATAAAATATCCAAAAATATGCTAAGCATCAGGAAGCTAAAGAGCAAACTAGAGGGGAGAAAATAGAGGGAAATAGAGAAAAAAAAAACATTCCCCATAAATACTCCTGTAGGATCGTCATATCCCTGACTGTTGTGGGGAGGCCATACAGGAACAGACAGAGAAGAGAAAACTCCAAAATAAATATATACAGTTGCAAGAAAAAGTATGTGAACCCCTTGGGATTACGTGGAGTTTTGCATGAATTGGGCATAAAATGTGCTCCCGAAATGGTTTAATTGCACATACCATGTAAACATTCACAGTGCAGGGAGGAAAAAGTATGTGAGGCCCTAACTTAATGACTTCTCCCAGAGCTAATTGGAGCCAGGAGTGAGCCAACCTTGACTCCAATCAGTGTGTTGATATTGGATGTGTTGCTGACAGCTGTCCTGCCCTTAAAAAACACACACCTGTTTTGGGTTTACTGGTTTCAAGAAGCACTGTCTGATGTGAACCATGCCTCGCAGAAAAGAGCTCTCAGAAGACCTACGATCAAGAATTGTTGACTTGCATGAAGCTGGAAAGGGTTACAAAAGTATCTCCAAAAGCCTTGATGTTCATGTGTCCACGGTAAGACAGACTGTCTACAAATGGAGAAAGCTTAGCACTGTTGCTACTCTCCCTAGGCGTGGTCTTCCTGTAAAAATGACTGCAAGAGCACAGCGCAGAATGCTGCATGAGGTAAAGAAGAATCCCAGAGTGTCAGCTAAAGACCTACAGAAATCTCTGGCACATGCTAACATTTTTGTTGACACATCTACAATAAGGAAAACATTAAACAAGAATGGAGTACATGGGAGGACACTACGGAGGAAGCCATTGCTGTCCAAAAAGAATATTGCAGCACGTTTGAAGTTTGCAAAAGAGCACCTGGATGTTCCACAGCACTACTGGCAAAATATACTGTGGACAGATGAAACCAAGATTGAGTTGTTTGGGAAGAACACACAACACTATGTGTGGAGAAAAAAAGGCACAGCGCACCAACATCAAAACCTCATCCCCACTGTAAAACATGGCGGAGGGAGCATCATGGTTTGGGGCTGCTTTGCTGCCTCAGGGCCTAGACGGATTGTTGTCATTGATGGGAAAATGAATTCCAGAGTTTATCAAGACATTTTGCAGGAAAAACGTACGACCATCTGTCTGCCAACTGAAGCTCCGCAGAGGATGGGTGATGCAACAGGACAATGACCCAAAGCATACAAGTAATTCAACAAAACAATGGCTGCAACAGCACAGAATACGCCTTCTGGAGTGGCCCAGTCAGAGTCCTGACCTCAACCCGATTGAAATGCTGTGGCATGACCTTAAGAGAGTGATTCACACCAGACATCCCAAGAATATTGCTACACTGAAACAGTTTTGTGAAGAGGAGTGGTCCAAAATTACTCCAGATCGTTGTGCAGGTCTGATCTGCAACTACAGGAAACGTTTGGTTGAGGTTATTGCTTCCAAAGGAGGGTCAACCAGTTATTAAGTCCAAAGATTCACATACTTTTTCCTCCCTGCACTGTGAATGTTTACATGTTATGTGCAATGAAACCATGGCAACATCTAATGTTTGTGTAGTATTATGTTCAGCAGACTGTGTTCTTCTATTGTTGTGACTTAGATGATGTTCAGAGCACATTTTATGCTCAATTCATGCAAAACTCCACGTAATCCCAAGGGGTTCACATACTTTTTCTTGCAACTGTAAAGACCTTATGCATATTATCTAAATCCATGTGCTGCACAGAACTAATTCTACTAAATATCCACAATAGGTGTTTCTGTCTCCTGGCATTTAGAACCTCTTGAAAGGGCCCGGAGGGGGTGGTGGTAAGGGGTTCAAAGGATTTTTACATTTTATTGTTTCTCTTTAACAAATTTAAACATCACTGCTCCCAATTAAACAGAATCTTTTTTTTTTTAACTTTAGTATGTGCCCCTCCAACCCAGTGCACAGCCAGACTCCCATGCCATTTGTTTGAAAATCCCTAGCATAAGAATCTAAAAAATGGTCACTACTCTTTTTTAACATTTAATTGTCATTGACTTTAGCTGGGTTTGGATTCCTGAGACCTGAACTCATGTTAGCCATTTTAATCATGTTGCCAAACCTACCCTGATTCAAATCCAGGTATGTTTGAATTATCATTACCACTTTCTGTGTCACAAACATTATGAATAGAGATGAGCGAAGTATTCAAAAATTCGATTCGGCTGATTTGGCGAATTCGAGGAATAAATTCGATTCGATGCGAATATATTCGCTGCAAATTTAACTTATAAAAAGGGTGTTTCTAGGCTTCAGAGAGCCTTTATATATTAGTGCAGAACACTGTACCTTTAATTTAAATGCCCTTGGAGTCTGCTGGGGAAGAGAAATAATACTGTCAGTCAGTATGACATGCAGATGAGTGCCGTCGATCTTAGAATCACCGCACACTTCACTCATTTGGGCAGTCACGGGGCCAAAACCAGAGTGTGGAGCCACAGTGTGGTGGTGGAGGCAGCAGCAATGGGAGGCCATACAGCACCCTATGACAAAATGGAACCACCAGCAGTGTGAGGAGACCTGAAAGTGGCACATGGCAGAGTGTGGCGATGGAGACAGCAGCAATGGGAGGCCGTACAGGGACCCATGACACACTCTGGACCTGGCAGCAGCATGAGGAGGCGGTACGGGGGCCCATGGCAGATTACGGGCCTGGCAGCAGCAATGGGAGGACCCGTAATCTGCCAGCACCCTATGACAAAATGGAACCCCACCAGCAGTGTGAGGAGACCTGAAAGTGGCACATGGCAGAGTGTGGCGATGGAGACAGCAGCAATGGGAGGCCGTACAGGGACCCATGAGACACTCTGGACCTGGCAGCAGCATGAGGAGGCGGTACAGGGGCCCATGACAGATTACGGGCCTGGCAGCAGCATGAGGAGTCGGTACGGGGGCCCATGGCAGATTACGGGCCTGGCAGCAGCAATGGGAGGCCCGTAATCTGCCAGCACCCTATGACAAAATGGAACCCACCAGCAGTGTGAGGAGACCTGAAAGTGGCACATGGCAGCGTGTGGCGATAGAGACAGCAGCAATGGGAGGCCGTACAGGGACCCATGACACACTCTGGACCTGGCAGAAGCAGGAGGAGGCGGTACAGGGGCCCATGAACAGATTACGGGCCTAGCAGCACAGCAATGGGAGGCCCGTAATCTGCCAGCAGCCTATGACAAAATGGAACCCAGTGTGAGGAGCCTAAAGGGGGCACTGGCAAGTGTGGCGATGGGACAGCAGAAATGGAGGCCGTACAGGGACCCAACACCTCTGGACCGGGCAGCACATGAGGAGGGGTCGGGGGCCCATGGCAGATTACGGGCCTGGCAGCGCAATGGGGGGCCCCGAAAATTCCCCAGCCCCATGACAAAACGGAACCCACCGCATTGGGGAGACCTAAAGGGGCAATGGCAGAGTGTGGTGAGGAGACAGCACAAGGGGAGGCCGTAAGGGACCCATAGACCTCTGGACCTGGCAGCAGCATAGGGGGCGGTAGGGGGGGCCCTGGCAATTACGGGCCTGGCAGAGCAATGGAGGCCCGTAATCTGCCAGCACCCTATGAAAAAAGGGAACCCCCACATGTGGGGAACCTGAAATGGCACTTGGCGAGTGTGGCAATGGGACAGCGCAATGGGGGCCCCGTACGGGGGACCCATGAGACACCTGGACCTGGCACAGCATGAGGAGTGGGTCGGGGGCCCGGGCAGTTTAGGGGCCTGGCAGCAGCAAGGGGAGGCCCGAACTGCCAGCACCCTATGACAAAATGGAACCCCCCAGCAGTGTGAGGAGCCCTGAAAGGGGCACATGGCAAGTGTGGCGATGGAGACAGCAGCAATGGGACCAAAGGGGACCATGAGACCCTGGACCTGGCAGCAGCTGAGGAGGGGGTAGGGGGGCCCAGGGCAGATTAGGGGCCGGCAGCAGCAATGGGGGGGCCCGTAATCGCCCCCACCCTATGACAAAGGGAACCCCCCAGTGTGAGGAGCCCGAAAGGGGCACAGAGAGTGTGGGCGATGGAGACAAAGAAAATGGAGGCCGACAGGGACCCATGAGACACTCTGGACCTGGCAGCAGCATGGGGATTCGGTACGGGGGCCCAGGCGATTAGGACCTGGCAGCAAAATGGGAGGCCCGGGAATCTCCAGCACCCTATGACAAAATGGAACCCACCAGCAGGGGGGAGACCTGAAATGGCACATGGCAAGTGTGGCGATGGAGACGCGCAAGGGGAGGCCGTCTAGACCCTGGAATTTGGGCCCCCGGCAGCAGCATGAGAGTGGGTTTCAGGGGCCCATGAAAATTTTACGGGCCTGCAGCAGCGGGAGTTGGTACGGGGGCCCATCAGATTAGGGGCCTGGCAGCAGAATGGGAGGCCATACAGCACCCATGACAAAAGGAACCCCCCACGTGTGAGGGACCTAAAAAGTGGCACATGGCAGAGTGTGGAGATGGAACAGCAGCAATGGGAAGCCCGGGGGCCCCATGAACACTCGGGACCTGGCAGCGCAAGAGGGGGCGGTACAGGGGCCCAGGGCAAGTGGCGAAGCGTAAGCACAAAAATTTGAACCCCATACACAGGCCATTTTAAAAAATAATAACATGTTTGGGGCATATTCAGGCGGATTTAGTCAGTGTGTCGGGAACTGGGGTTTAAACCCCAACTAACCCCCTGATTCTTTTCACAAACGGA